CACTAAATTCAATATATAGAACTTGAGTATTTTCGATATCATGTCAATAAATGTGATATATTTTTAAAAATTTAATTTCAGATCTTATACTTTCTTATACAGCAAATAATTGAATTACTATATTTGTGCTTTTTGATATGATATTTGTTTCACATGCACCTATTTTTTTATTTTAACCATTTTCTACCTTCTTTGATATGGTATTATAAAATGGAGCTATATAATAATATTAACTATAAAAAAAAATTTGTCATATAGAAATTTTCAAAATCTTGCAACTATTAAATTTAATAATTTCAAATAAATATTTATGAGGATTTTTATTAAAAAGTAAATAAATAATATCAATTTTAATTATCATCTTTTTGAGTATGGTAGTCTTTAAAACAACTACTTCTATTCTTATTACAACATAATACTACATTACATTTTATACAATATAACTGTGATTGTGAAGGATTTTTTTAATGCCTCTTGTTGAGCTTTTTTATTTAAATATTTGCACCACACATAACTACTTCTTTCCTCTCTCCATTCAGGAAAATGACCATCTAATGTTAATCTTAATAGTAAAAGTTCAAAATTTGTTGTTATGTATTGATGTTTTTTTATTGGATCAACTTGAATAAATTTGAATTTTTGTATTATCTTTTCAATGTGACCCCATGTATTTGGTTTTGAAGACTCATCCTCTTCCATACTTGACTTTATTAAATCCCATATTAACTGTAATCTAAAATCTTTATGATTAATATTTTTTTCCACTTTTTTTAAAAATTAAGTAAGAGTTAATAATTGGAGTATCTAATAACCAAAAAAAAATAATGACATCCAAGTTCTTTTTACTGGCAATTGGGTATCATAATATCCATGTAACTGGTTAGCAATATCCACTCCATCCATAAAATGATTGTAATCTTCAATTATACAAGGAATTAGTAAAGTTTTTTTACCAGCATCTCCAAATATTGGTTGCATTTGTACTTGTTTTTTGAGGATGACATCATTTTCTTTCAATTCTACTTTCATTTCCACCAATTTCATAAATAGTTGTTAACATAGTGACTGGCCTATCATCCATCAATAAAGATGCTAATACATTATTAATTACTATTCCAGATAAAGTATTCCAATCAAGTTTTTTATTAACTTTAAGAATTTTTAGAAAATTTGCACTATTTGTGTGAACTGTTCCACAAACATCAAAATTGTTGCTGTATAAATGTTGAAAGAAATTAATAGATAAAAAATAATTATCTAAATATATGTTAAATGATTTATTTAAAGGTAATTGGGAAACAAGATGGTTAACTTCATTATCAACTTTATTTAAATTTGAAAGTTGTTCTAATTCAAGATAGTTTTGAATCCTTGAAGTAAAATAAAAGTGTAAGTATATCCTGCATCACATGAGAAAGTATTTTGTATCCTTCTGGTGTTGGTTTATTTTTAATTCTAACTGTATGTGCACTTTGACCAAAAAATCAAGCAATCATTTCATCAATTGATATATTAGATGATGAAATACAAATTGTTTTGAAACTTTTTGAATATGACTTGCCAATGGATCTAATTTAGAATGCCAATATAAAGGTGGAATAGAACAGTCTGAAATATGCATAAAATTTTTAATCTGAATTTTAAAAGTTAAATTAGTTTAAATACTTTATTAAATATTTATCATAAAAATTAAAAATATACCTGCTCAAAATGAATTAATGATATAAAAGTAGTTATTTTGTGCTCAGGATATTTATCACTTTTATTCCAATAATCTTTAATACTAGAAAGTTTAAAAATACCAGAATATATTAAAATAGCTAACCAAATTTTAAATTCTTTTATTGTTAAATTTTTCCATTTACATCCTTCCCCTGCATTTTTTAAAATAGCATAGTTATTTGTATTTTTTACTATTGTATTTATTTGTTCTAAAGAAAAAAAAAGAAAAAAATCAAATAAGGTGATAGAGAAAAGGATTGGTATTCATCAGGTAAATTTAATTTAAATTCATGTAAAGTTCTTAAATGTTGAAATTTATTAAAAGGAGGGAGGAAGTTATATATGTTGCTGAGTTCATGACTATTACTGTGGCTATGGCTATGACCTTGATCTTGACTTTGATCTCAACCTCAACCTCAACCTTGATCTCAACCTTGACCTCTATTGATACCTCTCACTCTTGTATTTTGAAGTTTTTCTTGAATATCATTATTTTTATCACTTTCTAATTCATTTTCTTCATAATTTTCATAATTATTATGAGTTAATTCTGTAATATACAAAGTATTATTATCTTGTTCATTAAAGGTTGAAATTTCCATTATCAAAAAGTACTAAAAAAATAAAATTTTATTGAATTATTAAAAAATTATTAAAAAATGTTGTACATGTAAAAAAATAAAAAAAAATACTTTAAAAATTTATTTCAAATTCTTTTTATGTTAGTTCTGACTAAATTATTAGTTAAATATGGTAATCATTTTTAATTATAATTATTAGTTAAATATTTATATGGTAACCAAGTATTAATTATAATTAGTAGTTAAATATAGTAATCAGATGTTAATTATTATTTATAAAAGTAGTTAAAAGATTTACATTAATTTTTATAAATTGTGAACAATTTGCTTGCAAAACAGTTTAAGGAATATAAGTTTTATCCAGACAACATCGATATTTATGGAACAATCTAGTTTAATGAAAAGCATCCATGAAAAAATTGTGCAAAAAAATTTTCTGTTTATAGACTCTTTTCTTTAAACTAGAATATCTCTGTGAATATTGATGCTATCTAGATGAAACTCATATAATTTTGTAGTCAAGAACAATGTAGTTCTTTATATCTTAGAAACAACTTAGTAGAAAATTGCTCACGATTTTTGAAGCATAGAATGATTTTCTACTAAGATATTTCTAAAATAGAAAGAAAGGTTTCGTTCTTGGCTACAAAATAATATGTGTTTTATCCATATAGCATTGACATTTGTGGAGTTATTCTAGTTTAAAATAAACATCCATAAAAAAATTTTTTTGCATAATTTTTTCACAGACATTTTTCTTTAAACTAGAATATCTCTGTGAATATCGATGCTATCTAGATGAAACTCATATAATTTTGTAGTCAAGAATAATGTAGTTCTTTATATCTTAGAAACAACTTAGTAGAAAATCACTCACGATTTTTGAAGCATAGAACAATTTTCTACTAAGATATTTCTAAAATAGAAAGAAAGGTTTTGTTCTTGGCTACAAAATAATATGTGTTTCATCCATATAGCATTGACATTTGTGGAGTTATTCTAGTTTAAAGATAAACATCCATAAAAAAAATTTTTTTGCATAATTTTTTCATAGACATTTTTCTTTAAACTAGAATAACTCTGCGAATATCAATTCTATCTGAATGAAACATATATAATTTTGTATCCAAGAAAAAGAGCTTTCTTTCTATCTTAGAAATATTTTAGTAGAAAATCGTTCTATGCATTATAAATCATAGGCAAATTTGAAAAATGTAAAAAATCATCCAAAGACTTTTTTTATTAATAAAAATCATCCAGAAGACTTCACTTATTAAAATTTACTAATGTCTGCAATATACAAAGTATCATTATCTTGTTCATTTAAAATTCAAGTTTTCATTATGAAGGTATCAAAAAAAATAAAATTTTGATAAAATTATTAAAAAATTATTAAAATATATCTTATGTGCAAAAAAATAAAAAAATTTATTTCAAATTTATTTTAGTTTAAATATCGAAATTAGGTGTTGATCATTATCTATGCAAAGTGGAAAAATGATGGTCAAAATTAAAAAAAGTTATTAAAAGATTTATATTAATTTTCATAAATTGCAAGCAAATTTAAAACAGTTTAAGGGATAGTATGTATTTCTTTTTTTAAAAAAATAACATTGTGAATTAATTATGAATATGAAATTAAGTAACATTAATTAATTAATGTCGTTGCAGTCTGTGCAGAACAACATGAAAAGTTATACACACATTCTCTTGTACGCAATATCTTAAAACACAGCAAGACAGGCAATCAGTCAATCTAAACCTGCTTACACTAGCAAACAATACAATTACATGTAATATCTGAAGGTACATTGAGCAAGTGGAGAAAAGTATCTTTATTACTGCTTGCACACTACTAAACTGGAACAGACTTTTTTATGTAACTTTGTCAAGAAATACAAAATAGTTTATTAAAATTTATTAAAATTTCATGTAGGAGTATAACAATAGAAATATATTACTGCTTAGGTGTATCTTATCACTTTGCTTCCTCCTGCACTAAATTAATTATTAAAATTATTACAGAAATAAAACAATAGAGATATACAGTATTACTGCATTGGCATATCTTATTCCTATTGCTATATGAAATTATTTTATTATTATTAAAAAGTATTATGAATAAAAGTAAAAATAAAACTAAATTATAATGTTCAAAATATTTAAGAAAAAAAATAAACTAAAATTAAAATTATTCGAAATATCAAGTAAAATATTTTTATTTTGGTTCTTGTTCTTTTTTGGCGAAAAGGAATCTCCTTTTTTTTTTCCTTTTTTTCCGCAGCTATAATCAAATCAAAGAATTTATAGTTAGCATTAGTGACCATTTTGGAAAAGATCTATTCGCCACCAATGCATGAATTTATTAAAAAAAAGAAAATTACTAAATATAATTTTTTTAATTTATGGCTGATTTTAGAATAATTTGAAAGAGTTATACAATAATTTATAACTTCCCCTACGCTTGCTATTTTAGAATGACTGTTTTATCAGCATTCAATGGTCAATTTCAATTTATTTTTCCCGTGATTAAGATAATTCGTACCAATGTAAATCATGTCGTTCTATACTAAAATTCATTACATACAGTACCTATAGTTAATTTCATTTAAAAACAATAAAAAAGCTTGATGCTAAATTTTTGCAAGCCGGAATTCACAAAATTTATCATTGTTCTTTTTTAAAGAAATCATCACAATGATACGATCAAGTTTGAATTTGATGATTTTGCTAACAGCGTGGATAACAATTTTTTCTCTGACATCTTCGGTATCAGGTCGTGGAACTTTTACACATAATGAAACGAAATCATTCTCTACATCACCACGGATATGGCAATACGGGACATATTTCGATGGGACAGTGGTTCTTCGAATTGTTAATAAGAATCCTAATAAAACGTCTTCATCGGATGAAGTGTGGATAAGACCAGTGTTATCTTTACGCATTATTCATCCCAATGGAACAGTTAGTGAAATAGACAAAGACCTAGAGATTCCAGAATTCAACTGGCGCATTACTATAAGTCTTGGCCCTGTAAATATATATGCGCTTCAAAAGGGCTACTTACTTGTTACATACTTTAATACTTCAAATCCGAACGATATTAATACTTACGAAGAATGGGGACGTATTATTGATTGGAATGGCAATTTATATGAGTAAATATTTTCAACAATTCTTTCATAATCATCAAATTATATTTAATTAACTTTAATGATAATGACAATTATTATTACTTTTATTCAAAAAATATTCTAATCTATGAAGTAAAGTAAATTTCTCGAAGGCATACACCGAAAATGGTACATGGTACCCATCAGATACGACAATAGTGACTAATATTGATCCAGAAAAAGGTTTTATAAGGATAGCTGGTAGGAATGCAGCTTATATCGAATGGCAACAATATACGATGTGAGTTTATTAGACTATGAACTATTTAATATTATAACAATTTCAATTTTATTTTTTATTTTATTTTTAGAGGTGATGCATTCAATCTTAAAAAGTTATCAGAGGGAAATATTACAATTTTCCAAACTGATGTCTTTAATGTCATAGCTACTGTTGACGAGGGTTATAGTATAATCATAGGATATTCCACTTATTCCAGTAACAACAATCCGTTAGAAATTCGTGCCGCAGTATATGCTTTAACAAAAAGATATGATGATAAACAATTTGGTGCACCAAAAATGATTTATCATTTACCTTTAGATAATATTACAATAACAGATATATTTGCAGGTACTTCAAGTACTGGAATCGGGCAAGTTTGTACACTCGTCATCACAGAGAACTTTACCCTAAATTATTAGTAAAACTTAATTTCTTATCATCTGGCTCTATTACGGAAATCATCCCATTATCGCTCTTTGCAAAATTATGCGGTCATGTGATAAAACGATCTACTAATAAAATGCCGAAAACCAGTGATTACA